CTTCTAGAATAGGATTTGTAACCATAAGCATCCCAGGCAGTTTATGTGATCAGAAGTGTTATTATAGGTTGGGTGCCTTATCTTGAAGCAAATAGTGGCTCAGTTCCCAGAGTAGTGTTGGCATGGGCAATCAGGTGCAGCAGTAAAACTCTGGAGGTAGGCAAATTGTGGGCTCTAAAAGGAAGCGGTACGTTCTTATGGATGCGAGTTCTTCATTCTTCAAAGACCTTACAGGTATTAGACAAACTCTTCAAACTGTGCGCATGATACAATTGCAAAGTCCTGTGGTGTGTTCTATGGACGTGGCTGCAATGACCTCAATCTGTGGTCATCCTCAGGGATGATCACCCTGAAGTCTAGGCTGCTTTGAACAAAAAGTCGTCCAGCAGAGGTCAGTGGTCCAGTGCTGTAGTTACAAACCGGTCTGGTTTGTGTCTTAATAAATACAGGGGAAGCTCCCTTCCTTTGCTGCAGAAGTGTGGGCAGTCTAATACCCCAGGGGAATGTAAAGAGGGTTTAGCATTTGGAAGACTTAAAATTAATTTGTGGAACAAAACAGCCAGAATGTCAATAAATATATTGGGGGGGGGGGGGGGGGGGGCAAAAAAAAATTTTCCTGGGAGGGAAGGCCAAAATTCAAGTAATGCATAAATTGTATTTCCTATTCCATGCTTTAAATAACTATACTAATTTAAATAAATGGCTAGCATGAAGATTGGTGATGATAACAGGAAGATTTTTGTTTAGGAGGAAAAATCAGTCCAGCCTTAAGTTCCAAAGTATGGAGATGGTGGTTTTGCGGGTTAATTAAGAAATGGTGTTCTTGGTGCACAGTGTAGTGTGTAATGGCTCATGACAGAGAAGCAGAAATGATAGGATGGTCATCACTGGCAGAGAAGGAAAGGTATAGAAGAGGAAACAGGTGCTGCAAACTTCTGTAAAAGCCTGTGGAAGAAAAATAAGTCAGATCTCTTCATCTGTCACTCTAGCCTCTTTGAGTCCCTCAGTTACCAATCATGGAGTGGAGTTTCAGGGAGGATGAGACTTGTGTCATATTGCACAGAAAGTGAACAAGAACTTCATCCTCTTCTTCAAAGAAAGAAATAATTCTGTTGTGGTCTCTTCAAACTTAAGTTTTGGGTTTGTTTTTTAAAAGCAGTATACAGCCTATGAGCAAGAGGAGGATGCTGGATTTAGGCAAGTGCACCTGGGAAATGAACTTCTGATGAATGGATAGTTAAGACCTTTTGAATTAGAGGAAATGGCTTCAAGTTGTGCCAGGGGAAGTTTAGATTGGATATTAGGAAAAATTTCTTCACTGAAAGGCTTATTAAGCATTGAAACAGGCTGCCCAGGGAAGTGGTTGAGTCACCATCCCTGGAGGTATTTAAAAGATGTGTAGATGTGGTGCTTAGGGACATGGTTTAGTGGTGGACTTGGCAGTGTTAGGTTTACGGTTGGACTCGATGATCTTAATGGTCTTTTCCGACCTAAATGATTCTATGACTGGTTCCTTACCATCTCACCTCAAAGGTGTAAAGGAGTCAGAAGTTTGGATGCTCTAGTTTAGGTGCACCTGTTTCTTTACAGATGAAGCACTGGCACCTTTAGTGTGCTGGAAGTCTTAAGTCTTGGATGGAACTCCTGCCTAGCAAGCTGTGGTGTACCCTGGCAGCTTGGAAAATGGAGCTGAACCTTCCTGTTTCCTATTCTTTACCACACTGAATGGCTGTGCTTTCCAGCCATTCATTTGCTGTGTTGTTAAGAAACCAAATGGGGAACTCATCCAGAAATTTGATGGATTTCCTGCGTATTTCTGTGATGCTGCCTGGAGGGGTGTGTGTGTTTGAGCACTTCTTTTTTCTCTTTTTTCCTTTTTTTTTTTTCTTTCTTTCTTGAAGTGCTTTTAAACAAAACTTACCAGAAGAGAATTTCTGACTACTAGTCAGAATACTAATTTTGGCACCAAGTCTAAGGGACTCAAGGGAAGCAAACACGACAGACCTGAGCAGTGTCTAAAAAGCGTGTGACTCTTGGCTTCATTTTCCAGCTAAGAATGAATTGAACTTTTTCAAAGCTCTTGTCCGATGTAAACAGAATGCAATGCCTAGCTGTTTACCCAGGCATGCTCTGCCTCAGAGTAAAGAATCATTGTCCATGATCAGCTCTGGCAAAAATAAAGAGGAAGTGTTAGAAGTTGCAGTAAAGAAATGATTATCTGGAGTTAATTGCTGAAGCAGTTCATTGAAGAAGAGAAAGTTAATGCTTGTAGGAGTTAGTGCTGTGTGTGCACATGCATGTGGATTTTTGTTGTTGTTGGTTTTGTTCTTCCCAATTTGAAATGTGGGTGCATATTCTGGTTTAGAAGGTGCACTGTCACCTCTACCAGCTTCTAACAGAGCCTCTGTTGACATCTTACCTACTCCCAAGTTATTGGAGATCTTTTGATTTAACGTACAAAGTCCATGGTGATCTGAAGGTATTTGTTTCTTCTGACTGTTGTGCTAAACCAGGAGCAGAATTGCTCTATGCATTTTTTTAGCTACTGCTAAGCGGCTACTGAGTGCTCCTTACCTTGATTTTTAGTGGGGTTGTTCCCAGGAGAAGGTATTGCTGCTCTGGGTTGGTGTCACAAAGATATATGAGGAAGCTGGGAAACAAATGTTCTCTTTTCCACTACTTTGAGTGGAAGGACATCAAAGTAACTTGCAGAGCAGCGGATGTTTATGACCTCTTAATAAAGCCATGATAAAAGTGGTAGAGCCTATACGTGCTGTATTTTCTTGAACACAGCACAACTACATGGATGCTGATGTAAAATTCTGATTCTTTGGAAGTTAATGGTAGATTTAGCGAGCCAGTTCAAGCTAAAGACCTGAGGGCCCAGTGAATCTCTGCTGAGGTTTGACTTGCTTCTGTATAGTTCAGTAGGAACTGGATTGTCTTTAAATAAATCCCTGCAAACTTTCATCTTTGACTTCAGAATACTGTGGTCTAAATGTCTCATTCAGAGGTATTTTCTTTGGAGAGACGTAGGTACTTCCATCATAAGACAAGATAGATTGCATACTTGGATGCCTAAAAAAGATCAGACAAATGCACCTGAAACACTTAGTTCTCCCTTCTCTAAAAGAGAGCTGAAGATGATTGTTTCAGATGTGCATGTTGACACGGTAGGTGAGATGAATCCCACTCATTTTGTTTAGGAAATCTGGAGGAGGAAGCTTAATATTTTTATTTGATCTATGGACTCAATACTTGTTGACAGGAATGAGCTCTAAATGAAAGTGTGGTTTGACAAAGTGAGAGTGCATTATCACACATTGCTCAGCAGATGGCCTGGAAAGAGTAGAGGGAGAAAAAAGATAGGGGCAATGATCTACATCCCTCTCCCTTTTCAATTAATTTAAAACGCTGCTCAAAAAATATAGATGGCACCCCTTGCCACTTCATAAAGCAACTGAGAGCTGAGGTCCCGTTGCTCCCTGTCTGGTTTGTTTAGGATTGATGATGTAAAGGTGGCTGCAGCGGTGTTACTGGCAAGGGGTGAGGAAATGCTGCCACAGGGTGTAAGTGCTGGAGCTGGACTGGAGAAGCGGTCTGGGGCTGACATCCCAGTCTGGTGGCTGGCTGCCTGCCCTGCTTCGTAAGGACTAAGGATGGTGTCTGTCTCTGGCTGCTGTAGACTGTGACAAAGATATGGGATCCCATCTCCTCTGAGGTCTCTAGATACAAAAATAAATCCAGTCTTACTGTCTGGATGCATGGAGGGGCCTGGACAGGTGTATGAAGGACTGAGGTGTGGCTGGGAGTGGAGATCATCTGGGTCTGTATAAATAAGTTCAGCCCATTTAACATTTACTTTCTGTAAAGCCCTTAATGAAGACTGTGATGTGTGCCCCAGTGCCACAGTCACTTAGGAGACACATGATGGATCACTGGTTATTTCTATATGCAGTTATATGATTTGTAAAGTACAAAAATACACTAACTTTTTCCAGGCTGTACAGCTTCTCTGTTTGCTACAGCTTTTCCACCTCCAACTGGGTGGCAAGTGCAATTTATTTATCATGTAAAAAGGCATCCAAAAAGAAGCCAAAGCTTCAGAACTAGATTGGTAGGGAGAAGAAAGGAATTTTTTTTTTCTGCTGCTAATCAGTAGCTCAATTTCCTCCTCTCTTCAGGATGAGCAATTTTTGCTGAATAACAACCAAATGCTCAGAGGACTTCTGGCTTGAGGTAACTGACAGATTTAACTGTGATAATGGCTACATCAAATAGCTTTAGGTTGATCATGATCAGATAGTTTAATCCCACTTAATTTTTGTGGAAATTCCTCCTCTAAGTGACTTTTAACAGTTTGGGAAATGGCTTGCTTGCTCTGGACTTTCAAGGGTTTCAAACTGTAGAGACTTTTTCTGAGAAGGTGGCATGTCCAGCCCCAGCAGTGGTGTGTACTTGAACATTCATTTCATGCTCTGGCCACTAAATGTAGTAACTACTTGAATTTTCTGACACTTGCTCTGTAGTCATTACCTATGTAGGGGTATGGGTTTTTTAGGAAGGACTCCTGGCTGTATGGAATGTATTTATTTATTTCTATACAGTTAAACAGTGTTCCTGCGCGAGGCTTTATAACAAAAGAACTGTTGTTTGTAAAACTAGATGAAGTATATTAGAGTCCTCTCTTCCCATTAAATATGAGTATAAAAACTCTTGCTTGCTGATCCTGCACCAGTGAAAACAGGTTTGAGGTGGTGACAAGCTTGTGTCTAGGAGTAGATCTTAGAGCTGTCCATGCTTGAAGACAAGAAAAATGTTGTAAGATGGAGGGAGCAAAGAGAAATGACTGAAACTAACCTTTATATTTTTTGAGTATAGATACATGCAGTGGCATGGCAAATAGCATAATACTACTGGGTTGTTAAGAAGCTTTTTAAAAAATTAATGGTGGCTTAACAATGATAAAGTACTTAAATGTGTTATGTTGTTCCTGTCAGCAAACAAATGAAAGAGCTGGAGGAGTCGGGATTCTTGAAAGGAGCTTTGAGTGCGGAGCAGCAGTTGGCTCTCATTAGCATCTGTACAGACCTGAAGGCAGCAGTAGAGGGTGCTACTTTCATTCAGGTAAGCAAAGATTTGACAACTCCTAGCAAACAGTTTAGAAAGATGACCAAGAGCTGTGCTGTGCAGTCAACGGGCAATGGAGAGTTCAACATCCTGACCACATAAGGATGGTTGTGCTTGTTAAAATTAAAGTTCTTTCAGCTTACTATCTTGACATGGGAGATGATGCCTCTTTGCAGGATTTCCCTATCTGAGAGTCTTTGTAAGTTTCTTTTGGGTTATGTTGGAAGAGGCTGGTGGCTGACTAAGCCAATAGAGAATTGCTGACCTCCATGTGTAACAAAGACTGTACATGTTAGAAAGACGATTGTGGGGGGGGTGGGGGGCAGGAGATTCTTGGGGGAGAGAGATTATTTCTTAGGCAACACCAAACATTCTAGTGCTGGGACTAAAACTTGTTTCTTCCTCTCCAGGTACCTTGGGAAGGCAGGGAGTATGGTTCTGCCCAGGGGTGACTTCTATTCTGACTGGGGGGGAGCACTGTAGCCAAAAGCAGCTATCCAACAGAGTGTTAGAGTATTAAAAACAGGGTTGATATATAGGGCTGGAATCGGTGCTGCTAAGTAAAACTGAGATGGGGAATAAGCTGTATTACTGAACCCGATAGTCTGTGGCTGCTTAACTATTAGTGTGTGCACTGGCAAGGGCATAGTTCAGGGAATAGGTGAATCAGGGGCCATTTCTGTGGTAAAGTATGAATGAGTTTGCATTGGACTTGGCATCTTCTACCCTGCGTGGTCCCCCAGTATTATTCCAGTGTTGTACCATTAACTGTCCCTACATGTATGTGTGCTGCACCTAAGAGTTTACAATTTCTACTGTTTCAGGCTGTAAATTCCACAGTGTGCTTAGCTGCAATACGTCTCTAATAATAAATTGAATTAAAAGGGGACAGATTTCCAGACCTTTTCTTCCTCCCAAGTTGGTGAGGTGGAGGGGGAGAGAATGGGAGGCAGAGCAAAGCCTCACACAGGAGTCAAGCTGTGAATGCACTATAGATTTTTACAGTGGTATACTATTTTGTGTTCACTTCCTTTTCTCTAGATCATGAAACTGTATGCTGTTACCCCAGTATCTTACTCCTTCATCAGTAACGAGCTCAGAGCTTGTCAGTTCGTATTATTTTTTCACATATGTGTCACCTACCTCTACTGAGTTTAATCTGCAAACTTATTGTCTAGACATTCAATCTTGTAAAATCCTTCCACAAATGTTTGCAGTTGTAATGATGACGACTAACTTAATTTTATGAGCTAACTTTCAGGTCATTTATGAATGGATATAACAAAGGGCACAGATATCTGCTGTTTCTGTAGAAACAGCACTGATCAGCATGTTCCAGTAAGAACTGACTTCTTCCTACCGTCTGCTTACTATCTCTTTACCAGTTACTGTCTGTGAAAGGACCTTTTATCTCACATGTGACCAGTTAACTTCCTTGAAAGCTTTTACTATTTTTTGTTGCAAGACTTCTGGGCATTCGCACCGACTGCATCAGCTACATGACGCCTGTGCCTGTGCTTGCTGCTTCCTTTAGAGAATTCCACTAAGTCTGTGAATCAGGACTTCCCTCTGAAAAAGTTGCTTTGATTCTTCCCTGTTTATGTAATACTCATTTGGTGCTGCCCTTTTCTCTTGACTTGCTTGATAGAGACATGAGGCTTAGAGGCTTATTGTTGAGATCTTTCCTGAAGTTCCCTTAAATGTTGCATCATGCTTGCCACTCATCTGCTCTTTGGTACCAAAATACTGAAAACATTCAGTTTTGTTTCAAGTGAGCAGTTGTATATCACTGTTACTGTGTTGGGTATTCAAACCATATCAAAACATGTCCTAGTACTTTGGTTCTGGTTCCCCTCCCCTTTGTTCTAAGACTTGAGATAGACCCTGGGAGTCCCCAAGACTAAGGCTTCAGTTTTCTTCAAGGATTAGAAGGAGAAACAGAACAGTTGCAAAGAACTCACTGTTCTGTATGTGTTTTCCAGATGATCATCCTTCTGTATTCTGATCATCTCTTGGTCCTATGCATTCTTCTTCTCCAAGCATTTTGAAGAAAGAAGGGAAATTTCTTTTTTTTAATTATTCCTCTTGTAAATTGCAGGGGGGGGAGTGTCTGCTTTGTTTTGTCTTACTTTGACAAATTAACAATCCTATATGGCCATGTTCATTTGGGTACTGCCTCAACTTTGTGAAGGCTGCCACCTTGTTTCTAGTAAACTCTTCTAGTTCTGCCTGTTTTCTCTTGCTCTTTCAAGTGTTTCTTACTACCTGGTATGTCCATATGGTGTCTTTACTTTGTATGATACCTGTAAGGGTCTGATCCTTCTTACAGCCAACTTTGCATGTCCTTAGTATCCTCACTTTTATTTTAGTATCTTCTTTTGAAGCTAAGCGCAGCTGTGATGGAGTTCTTGGCTCTTGTTGCTCCTACAGAGATGTTGAATCTTAGTATGCTATTGTTCCTCTTAGAGAGGCTCTTCAGCAGTAAGATTTTTGAACAAGGTCCTGCATGCTACTTCAGATTAAATCAGGGGCTGCATCCATCCCTCCCACCATCAGCTGATCTATGAAATAGGCATTGGGCAGATGTTGCAGAATCAAAGCAATTTTGAGTTGGAAGGGACCTGTGCAAGTCATCCGGCCCAACCTGCTGCGGGACCAACTCACATCAGCTTGCTCAGGATTTGTGCAGTTGAGTTTTGAATAGCTCTAAGGATGAACACTTCTGGTCTCTTTGGGTAACTTGTTACAACATTTGATTACCCTCATTGTTGAACTTCTTTCCTAATATCTGATTGGAGTTTCCCTTCTTGCAACTTTAGTCTCTTGCTGCTCGTCCTACCACCATGGACTTCTGAGAAGAATCTGGCTTCTCTGTGTGTTCCCTTCAGGTAGTTGAAGACAGCAGTGTGCTGATAGTGTCTGAATAGCAACAATCTACCTGGGGTAACTCAAGCTTTCTGGTACTATTTTATGTTCCCTTAGTCCTTGTGATGTCTCTTAACATGTAGTCATTAAGCATAAAAAAAAAAATGAAGTAGCTGCAGTATGCCTGTGGGTAACAGATCATGTGTGTGAAACACTGTTGGCGGTATTCATATCAGCTCATCAGTTTCAAACCATAGTATCAAATTTTGGTTTGATACAAAGTGTTAATGTAAGTGGACAAATTATTTGAACTAGTCTTTAATTTGCTCTTGGAAGGGGGGTGGAATAGATATAAAAGAATCTTAATTCTAGGCTCACAGCCTTATTTCAGCAGTGAACAGACTACTTTCTAGCTGAACCATATTAAACTTCAGAAACATTGCCTAGTGCAGCTTTGAACCTCGAAGAACAAAATGGATTAATTATGTTACAAGTGCAAGTGTTCTGACTTAATTACTTAAAAAATAAAACATCAGTTGCGTTAATGTTAGTTGAATATAGAGGACTCTATTTCTTGCTTAATGATAAAACCTACTGATTAACTTGTTAGAAGACTTCCATGAGAACTGCATTTCTTTACCCTAGATTTCAGTTGGTTAAATCTTAACTTCTTTTCAAATTCGGCCTTTGTGGAGTAAGTCCACTTCAAGCTTTAAGAATTTCCTTGATGTTAGCACTCCTTGAATGAATTCTGCAGACAGTTGCCTTCTATGTTGTTTTCATGGGACATAATTTAAAACAAATGTGATGAAGTAGTAAAAAGTGGAACTTCTTAAATGACATTAGTGAAGATATAAAAGTGAAAAAGATGCAGGAAATAATTAGAAGGACTGAGTATGAAGAAAGTTCATAACAGTAATGTCATAAACCTTTAAAAACAAGGTATGCCTTGATGCATATTATTTTATACGTTCCCTCTCCTGAGCATTTTTATGAAGTAACTTGTCTTGATCAGTGTGCTTTGCATCAGCTTTAGAAGGAAATCAGTCTGGTTTTTTGCTATAAAACTGAATATTCACCAAGTTTCACTTCTCGGAGCTTTTCTATGCTACTTGGAGTAAGTGCATAATCTATAGCATTTAGGTGAATGTGCACTGCAAGCTTCTTGCATGACTGAAAGCTTTAATTCTGAAATAACTTTTCCATTAGCTGAAAACTCCACAGAGGCAAATTAGTGGGTACATTTGTACTATAATATCCCTGGCATGGGACTATCATGGGTGAGGTAAATGTTTCTTAATATTGTGCTCGTAACTTCCCTGCATAAATATATGATGACTTTTGTCCTTATGTGACTACTGGGTACTGAACTTGTTAGTACTCTTTTCACTATTAAAAACAGATTTGAGTGGGTGTGTGTCTAGTTCCTAAATAATATAAGCTGAATAGAAATCAGTGCAGCACTTGTATGATCTGTTACCATAATGCTAAGTAAAATGAAAACATACCTTTTTAAATGCTTTGCTTTGGAGCAATTTACTAACAGGATAATAAAGTTTACTGACTATTGGTAAGATCTTACTCTTGACACTTGAGCTACTGTGTGTGCTGGTGAGTTGTGAGGCCTGGCTGGGCTGGTTGAAGCCGGGCATGGAGGGTGGCTGAGAGGTGATCTCTGAACGTGTCAGTTGTGCTGTGGCATGGGACAAAGCAGACTGGCAAAGGGATGAACTTAAGCTTGTAACTTATGCCTAAAAGCCTTAGAACAGTATTTTTTTTTTTTTTCCCCCCTCTTTAAAAGAGAGAGGCCGTGCCCCCTCTCCCCGCCCCGTTACACCTGCAAACTCATTTTGAACTGGTGATAACACCACTAATGGATCTTCAGCCTGGTCTCTTTTAGATCTTGCTGGCTCTTTTATCTCTCCCAGTTAGACGTGTTTAGAAAAAAAGTGTTACCAGCTTAAAAACAGCTTTCAAAAAGCCTGGTGGTGCCTCAGAATGGGAAACCAGCATTGGCTTGGGAGCGTTGACAGTAGGTGTCTCATGTCTCCTGTCATAAAAATTTGTCTCTGATTGTCTGGTACCAGTTTCTGCCGCTAGCTTTTGTTTTACTTTCCTGGTGGCTTTCAAGA